TTAAAAATAAGGAATAAATCGGGCTTATATTTAAAAAAATAAAATTTCTGGACCTATATTAAAGTTCTTAGAGTCTACTTATACCAAATAATTCGTATTCCCCAATTCTAGCTAAAAAAATTATTTATTGAAAAGTAAGCACGATTTGTTACCAATTTTCAAGTAAAAGCAAATGCTTAATTTTTATTCAAAAAAATCGGGAGTTTTTATTTAGTTTGGTCTTTTTTTGCTTCTGAAAAACTTAGTATAGGTACCTACGTACTTGTAGGTATCATTATTGTAAACAACAAATCTTGGTTCCATAACTATTGAAAATTAATTATAGCTACCTCGATAACGAAACAATTTTTTACACATAAAAATATTTCACAAAGTGTCTCAAATCAAATCTGAGAGATGCTTTCGTCTGTTGTCAAGTCGCACAAGTTTTCTATCCTATTATTTATTGTCAAGATAATACTACAGCAATTAATTTCTAATAATTTTCCTTCTAACACAACAATTCATTTCTAATCAATTTCCTTCTAACACAGCAATTAATTTCTAATCATTTTCCTTGCGTTATAATAAATTATACATTGTTTTACCCATCCTGCACCCCTATTCTATTCAGTATTCACTCACGCCATTCCCTGTAAATTCGAGGTAAAATTATTAATATTAATTGAGAAAATGGCAAATGCTTATTTAATTGTTATTATTTATATACACAATATAGGTATGTGTACAATTGCGATACCTAGAAGTACTTAGGTACGTATGCTTAGTTTTTCATAATCGAAAAGAGGTCAAATAAGATATTTATCACTTCGGGAAATGGTTAAGTACTGCATTTTGATATTACTTCCGGTTCAAAATCTGTCGCTTCAGTGAATAGCATGGTATGTTTTACTCAATTTCAATAAAACATTGCTTACCTAAATCAAAGCAGTTAAAATACAAATAATCGGTCAATCATCTTCGAAACGGTTTCTATATTTACATTATCCATATTACACAAAGATAAAGTGTTCTGACTTAACTTCCGGTCGATACCTACCTACCTACCTAAATTTAAATTTAGGATAGGCTATAGGCTAGATATTTTTTCGTTAACATACATTTCGATGAAATATCTCCATGGAGGTATCAATTTTTTTAATACCTTTAATAAGCTTCACACATTTGGGAAGCAAGGAGACAGGCGACACGACAACCATTCAAGGGAACGATCAGAGTTGCCAGACCTACTGTTTTTAAGTAGATCCACTGTTTTGTCTCTGTTCTCGCCAACTTAGCAAATTTTGTTCTTAATTTATTAAGTTTGCTTCATTCTTCAGCAAATGGTCAAAGAATATTTTCTCTAGGAAATTTGCTGAGGTAAAAGCAGCATAATAAGCAGCCACTATTGTAGGTTTGCTCCATAAAAAAACCTCAAGATAATCATTATGTTTTTATTTAAAATGCAACAAAGAATTAATAGGGCATCATAAAAAGAACATGCATGCCAAACACAACGTATTTGAATTATTTCATTCAGACTAATCTAAAAGAAATGCCTATTATTTTTCATTGTTTTTTTTTTTTGTTTCCGTACGTAAAGTACCTGTTATTATTTGTTTTTATTATTTGTTTACATACTATTTTGGGTAGAAAAATATTTATTTTTCGTTTCTTATAAGTATACTTGTTTTTTTTACTACACTGCAAATTATAATTATTTTCCCTATATTAAAATCTACTGTACAGATCTACTGTTTTTTTCGCCCACCTATTGTTTCAGCAAATTTTCATCTGGCAACACTGCCCAGGATAGGTCGAAGGAACTTTGCAACTACCATTTCTATAAAATATCAACTAATCACCTCGAAATACAAGCGATGACTGAGCGCGACAGGCAGTAAACGCTACCCCGAGACCGATCTATCTTTCGTCAAGTTCTGTCTCTCGCACTGGTCGCGTCTTGCGAAATGTGTTTCATATAATTACATGTGCTCAGACGTGAAGAGACCGTTTTTGGTCTCCTTTGCCGTCGCTTCTGCTACCATTTGGGAACGCGTGACAAAGAGAGACGACAGACAGTAAGCGACAACTCCTACCGTTCTAAAAGTGGTGTCGTCTGTCGTGCTTTCCAAAAAGCGTTTCATATAATTAATTTGTTGAAACGTGAAGAGACCGTTTTCGGTCTCCTTCGCTGTCGGTTCGCGTATGAAGTCGGCCTCGGTCTCGCCTACCCAATTGGTGTAGCTTTAAGCTAGGTATATTTAAATTATACAGAACAAGGTACAATTTTAGGACATGTATTTATTAGGTACTCATACATTTTATATTTGTTTTGCCATCACCACGACGATATTTAGTTGAGAAAGTGTAGATTAAATAATTATAACATTAATACATACATCGTTCTTTTCTAAATACTGGAGGAACAATATTCCTACCACAGATTCCTACAACTTTCGTACGAAGTGTAAGTACATTGCCTAATTTTAAGAACACAGGCTTAACCAACCAGAGTGTAGGTCGACCATTATAGGATATGCGAGGAACTTTTTTATTCTTCAGACCCATATTTTTCTATTACCTGAGGCGTAAACCCGAAGGGTACACCACTTCCGATATACAGGTACGTTTTCACTCGAAATCACTAAAAATTATCTCTAATTTTAGAAATCATCACGAAAATCATGGTCCAATGGGTCAAAATCAATTTGTTGCTCAGAACTATAAACGCAGGAGGAGCTTATGGATCAAAATACAAGGGTTAACAAACAAGAAGTAAAGAGGTTTTGAAATAAAAAAAAAATGGAAAGTACCTAATTTGAAGAAATCACCGAAATCGTGTAAAATTAAGGTGGATTTCGGCGAAATCACCGAAGTCATACGAATTTTAGGTGATTTTCGAAAAACAGGTAAGTACGTTTTGACCTTAGTGTTTTACCCGAGGTTTTACCCCTCGCTATAACATTTGTCCGTCTTCAGGACCCGTATATCTCAAGCGCGTGGCGGTACTGAAGATCTTGAGGTTTATTTGGGAATCTTATTTACAACTTAGGGACAAGCATAAAGCAATAAATAAAGAGTTTTAGGCTCTAGACAGTCCAGACCTAGACCATATTTTATTCTCAAAAATCAATTAAAATAAAAAGAAATAATATATTGTGAATATAAAACAAATAATAATCGACAAAGAAAAATTTTAAAATCAAAATTATAAGTAGGTAATTCTATTATTGTTTTCCTCTTGGCTAACATGTTACTAGGCTTGTTGATGCGTGGGTAAAAAAATCGTAAAAAGTGACCTAATTTTATCTAAATTTTGTTTCTCAATGTCCTAAATCATAAAAATAAAAAATATTTGACCGCAAAAAAGTTGGCTTTAAAAAACATTTTTCTTAACGTAAGTATTTAGAAACAAAGAAAATTTTGCATAAAATACAGGATGTTACATTGAAAAAAATTGAGAACATCATGTATCTGAGTTTTGACTCACCCTGTACACGTCTGTTGCGCTAGGAAAAAATTAGTATATTCTTATAAAAGTAGACTATTATTAAAAATGATTAATCAAAAAATTTTGATGTTCAATTGTTTCTTTTAAAATATACAGAGGGTTGAACCTAGTACGATTTTCATATAAAATTGGTTTAAACTTCCAAAATACCCAGTATAACCTCATACATGTTGGTATTTTCTTGAAGGGCAAAGTCAGGGAATTCAAATTTACAATTAAATACAGGGTGGTCCATTTAAAAAAAAATAGGTTTGATCAATCCTGAAGTTATGGATCATTCTGTATAATCGAGTGTATAATCGAAAATAATTTTGAAATTGCAGATTAATATTATCTACAACTTTTGTAAATAACATTGTTTGATATTTTCTAAAATATAGGATATATCGAACTTCCACACACTATTGGGACACACTGTATATCTCAGTACAGGTGTAGGTAAAAAACTTTTAATATTTTATAAAGGTCACAAGCCGCCACCGTTGGTGTAACATTTTAATTCCAAACATTTTTTTATAAGCTGGACCACTGGTTGGACTCATTCTGGACTGATATTTCTGGGTACTTTTGATGTGATTCTATAATGTCATTGCTAGGTAATATACCTACCTAAAAGAGTAGGTTAGTTAAGGTAAGGATAGGATAATTTATTCTGAACAGACTTTACTATGTAGGTATTCAAATTATTTATTTATTATGGATAAAACTGAATTGAACTGAATTGAAAGTAATAGATACCTAATTGAGCTTTTGAGAGCAATGAATGTTTATATATGGAATTAAAAGACTAGGCAGGTTTTCTGATTGGCATTTTCCGAGGACGATCTAGTAGGTAAGTACACATATGATATGTGCATACCAAACTAGGTAGATATAGGAGTAGGTAAGATACCTATATCTAAATAAAGAGTCGAACTAATATCCTTAATTCTTGGCAAAATAGAAGGTACGCTAATTAAATGCTTATTAAGAAATTAGGTAAATTAATTAAATTCAAGATTACTTATACCAAATAGGTAGGTACCTACCTGTAGTACATTTTCATTTTACTCATTTGGTAGGTAAGTAGGCATTTGTATTATTATTATCGTTTTTACTAAATTATAGCAGAACTCCTTGCAATACAAGACGGCAAATTTCATAACGATAGTTGTGGAACTTTTAAAGATACATAGGTATCATAATGTATACCTTGTTACCTATGACCTTACTAAAAAAATACTTAATATCTCTGAAAATCATGTGTTCATTGTAATTTAATTATTACAATGTTGTTAACCTAATCCAACGCATATCTCTACGGTTATTAATTCCCGCATATTTTTATAAAGGGTGTGCCTACGGCCTGTTTCATATCATAACCCACAAACATGCTGTGTCTAAAAGCAACACAAACCATATAAATTGGCAATAAAATTAGAAATCGTTATAGGCAGAATCTAGAAACTTTACTACAAATATTTAAGTTTGTTTGGGTATTCACATTTTACATATTATATGCACTTACTTTCTATTCAGTCTACAAGTTGTAATAATCTAGCTGTCAAATCCACATAATTTTGATGAACACTCGCGGCCTGGTAACTATTTCACGAAAATATACGTCTTAACACTCATTTATCACAAAATTTTTCGATTTTAAACACTGTACACTTCGTATTACTTATTTGTTTTGATTTTGTATACACTTCCCATAACACAAACGAACGACAAGCACAAACTGCCAAGATTGCCACGACTGGGGCGCCACCGCCATTGCTGCATTCACAATTCATAACAGGGAGAGGGGAGAGATTGAAGTTGATATTTAATACGCCGTTGCCAGATCAAAAAAAAAGACCTGAAGGTAGGTATTGTAAAAATAAATTATATGTTATACTAAATTGCAACCTTTACGTTTATGATTTTGTATACTTACTTAATACTATTCATTACGATTACAATTGAATTGAATAATAATGATAATATGATTGAATAATATTATCAATAGTTCTGTAAAATTCAGTTGCAGTTATGAAAACAAATTAGTTAGGATGTAAAAAATGAGCTAAAATCGAATGAAAATCCCTGTGTGAATCTACATTTCAATTTTTGTTGAACGACAGAAGTTGGACATATTCCAACTTTTTACTGAGGCCCTTCCTATGGGGCCTCAGTATTGCATTCGTGCAGACGAAAATGCAAAAAAAAATTTTCGTCTGGTCGTCTGTGTGTATGTATGCCGGCACGATAACTCTAGAATGAAAGTGCTGATTGACTTACGGTTTTAATTTTCTTGAATAATTACTTTTAACTTAGAACCCTATTGATTTTCAAAATTTTCGGTTCATCCTAACTACTTTAATATCAATTTTCTTAAAATCCGCCGATGCATTTCTTATGTGACAATTTTAGGAATTCCAATTATTTCTAACGTCAACATTCCTAATTTTCTTAAAATTCCATAAATTGCAGACATTCTCTAACGACCTGTCAAACAACAGCTGTTGATAGGAAAGGTGAAATTTCTAAGACGGGTTGCGACCTTAATACCTGAAACCATAGCCATTTTGGAGGCTATTTTTATTCGAAATTAGTCGCCAAGCCTGCCAACTTATGAAAAATATATAAGTGGTTTCTTAAAAATGACTTTTTTCTGGTGGTGCTAACTTAAGCGTACTATTTTGCCCTTTTTGCCCCTAGCCACAAAAATACCTTCATCAAATTTACTGGCTCTCATAGAATAATTAACCGGTCATTTTATTTGGCAAAAATCAGAATAATGCCGGGCTGTGCCTGTCAAGTATCAAGATGTCAACTGTGATGTGTGAAGGGCTCTTAAATGTCAAATTATTTAAAAATGTATGCTTCTTTTGATATTTATTGCAAATAATTTGTAGTGTATCTCAATTCAGGTTTTCCATAAATAAAGGTACAACAAGACAGATATTATAATGTTCTTATACAAAGCACTTTTTTATTACATAAAAGAGAGGTAGGATATAATTTTGGATTATATATTCAACCAGCGAATTGTAAATAATAATTAGTAAACTCCTAGTCATAAATTTCCTCAATTCATAAAATTTAAAAATTAATCTTCTTACCTTGGGATTTTAATGACGTAATGTGATCAACCCATTTCAAATTTTGATCAATTATGATACCGAGTTATTTTGTTGGTTTTTCATTTTAATTTTAAAGTTGTCATTTATTTGTATGTTGAAAGAAGGCCTTTGTAAATTACATTGTTCTCTATGGATCTACTTTAACACAAAAATAGTTTTGTGGCTATAAGTTGCTATAACCTATCTTCGCAAAACTATTAATAATTTAAACACAGTAAGTAGTAAAACGAGGCAATACGGGGGGAAAATAACAATAAATTAAGGAAAACTGAAAAAGGGCAGGTGTAAAGAGTATTATCACAAGAAAGTATATCCGTTCTGTTTATTTATCAAGTATTGTATGAGGTTACTTTTGAATATATTTATTGTTGTTTTTTTTTTATTTCTGTAGGCAGTCTATTAAATTTTTTAGATCTGATGCGATGGTACTATGTCATTTTTATTTTATAAATAAATATCAGTCATGTACTGAACAAAATTCTGAACTGAGAGCCAATTTATTTCCTTTAACACAGTTGCAATACTCATCCTTGTCCTTTATTAAAAGAATATAAATAGGCGAAGCCCAAATATTTTACATGAGTAGGCTTAAGAGGTAAAGGGGCCAATTATTATTATATAAATTGCTCAAACAAGTTTTTAAACCCTAATCAAAAGGCGATATAGAATGATTTTAAAAATCAAGGCTTGTGAAAATCATCACATGGTTTAACCTAAGTAATGCTAATGCTTCACAAATTTGAAATAGTGTTTTTTTTTGGTACTAGACACATATAACGGCTAAAGAACGGATCGAATATAGTGTTGTTTATTAACTAAATATAATTTGTAATTTTTTAGCTGCTGAGAGTTCTTTACGCATAGTTGAATATTTTTTAGCAATTTTCAACTGAACTTTAGAAAGGAATTCATCAAATTTTTTCTCTGACAATCTTGATTATTGTGAGGCAAGTTCTCGTTTAAAAGTACTACTGAAACACCTAATCTGTGCCTTTTCAAAATCAAAATCCATTTCCAAAAACAAATACTACGTTCTGATCGTTTCTTCTTACATTCTAATAAAATATTTCTGTATTTATTAAATCACAAATGACACGGACCCCCGCACGATCAACCTCGTTAGTCGCCATTTTGCTTTAGTGTTATTATTTTATTTAAGTGATTTTAGGTCTTATATATATATATATTTCTAAAGTAGTTATGACCTTTTAGTTAAATATTCGTTTAGTAATCAATTAAGTATACAAAACATTAAACGAACAAAAAATAAAAGTTGTTATTGTTCAAATATTTTATTACACTCGACACTTGATCATATTTTGCGGCTAGTAAGTTATTTTGGTTTGTTATTTTAAAATTCACAGATCAAAATAATCAACCGAAATAATGATATAAAATGTTAGGCACTTTTAAAATATCGAAGCCATTTCTTTTCAAATCCAATTTAATGAGAGTGTTTTAATATACAAATACCTATAAACACTTTTAAAAACAGGTAGGTATGAAAATACAAATGCAGACCCTCTGTTTGACAAAGAATTGGACAAGGTATAATAGGACCAGGCGTGAAACGATGCGCTTTTAAATTTCCGTTTCTATATTAACGGTGTGCCTCCTGATCCCTACTTCCACTTTTTCGAAAACCGAAAATTAAAATGCCACAACCTAATCTGAGACTTCTCTCAGATTTCCAAGACCTCCCCCTCACCGCTGAACTCCAGGATCTGCTGGAATCAGCCCTCCTAAGCATCAGATAAACCCTTCCCAATCATATAATTAGAAATTCATAATATATGTACAATATCGTGATTTGGGTTTTGTGGTTTTCCTAAATTATATTCCCCACACTATACTTGGACTTGTCTATGTATGGGGTTGGAAATAGCAAAATTGGCGATATTTTTGGGGAACACAACCTGCCACACAGGTCCCACACGCGCACTCGACAAGTAGGAATTAGCTAGATAGGTTACTTTTGTAATCAGGGCAGACCACCCTGAAAAGGAGGATAACTCATATAGCAGGGAAATAGAAAAATAAAATGTCCTAGAAATATGTAAGACACTTATGAAAAAGTCAATAATAACAAAAAAAAAGGTTCCCCACAATATATTCTCGAAGTCTATACACCTGAATATATCAGGGTAGCTATTCTTGAATTCGAGGGAGTAGAAAACCGGTTTGTCCTCTTTATCTGCAACGCATAAAATTTGTATTTTTGTCTCATTCTTCCCTCAAAATTTCTACTCCCCAAGATTCAAGAATAGGTACCCCAGATGGACGAGCGGGAGAAGGAAGAAAGACCAGCGCAGTGGGCAGTAGGTAGTAGGGGAATAGACAATGGCAGTACCACAACAACGTCATATTTTGAGAATACTTGATCGTGAATTAAACTATTTAAAAAGTAGGTTAGACATTTTTATTAGTTATGAATCATCCCTTCTGTTAACATATATTTTCAATTATTATTTAAAATATATTGATTGTGAATATACCAGCACTATGAATACACTAGCACAAGTATACAAATCTTGACAAAAATTATAATTCCAGTCTCGTACTTCGGTAAGTAATCCACTATTCTCCCTTAATTAATAAATACATAACTCAATACACAAATACCTATTTATAATATTCAGTAAAAGCCCATGTCTGTTTAGTTTCATATTTTTTTTTAAACTTTTAACCCTCTGCAAGGGTTCATCGAGATAGAATATAGGGGAGATGCTATGACGATACTATGACGATAGCAGAACTAGTCAGTTTTGATGAGAATAAATGCCTTTTTTTTAAATAGCTTTCTTTAAATGATACAAACATTTTCAATTCGTCAATCTTCAATTAAAAAAATTATTGACTTCAAATAAATAAAAGTACGACTCTAAGTCGCCATTTTGATTGCACGTTTTTGTCACTCGAACTGCTTCCATCTGATAAATTGCAAAAAACTATTTCTGTCATCTCTACTTATTTCTATTAAAAAAAAAAAAGGAAATTTGCAATGGGCCTTTGGCAACACTGCTTGTGACGATTGTATATCAAGCAAAATATAATTATTTTGATTTCTTTATTTAAACTATAAAAGTTTTAAATGTAAAGGATATTTTTTTATGATATGTAAATGCTAATGAAAATACCAGATGGAAATTTCGACTGTCTGTTAATTTGAAAGGTCGTAGCTTTTAATAGGCCGGTAGGTACACATTTGCGACACTTTGCACATTGTAGTTTGAATGTGGACGTCCTTGATCATTCATAATGGTCTATTTTTTGTTGTAAATTGGTTAGTTTAGAATTATATGCCTCCTATTATTATGCCAATGTGGAATTTTATGTATGTAGGTTCTACTTGTGTCTTGTGTCTTGTGTGATAAAAGAGGTGCGTGCCTTAACATAAAAAAGGTAGGTAGGTATGGGTTTCAGGAAGAACTGAAAATAGGGTATTTTTTTGAAAACAAGCTTACTTTTACATGTTTAGCTAGTAATTTAATCTTACTAAAAATGATAAACCTTTCATGAACTTTGGAAACTCGAAACTCGAAAACCGTATTTTGTTTTTCAAAATTATCTTTAGGTCGGCGCCTAGAATTAATTAATAGTGCAGTGATGATTAAGTACGGGGTATGGTCCTAACAGTTGCGTTCGGGATTTTTTTGTTGCACTTGTA